CTTCAAGGTGGCTTAGTGGTTAGAGCGTCCGCCTCATATGTGGGAGGTCATGGGTTGGAACCCCGGCGAAGTCATACCAAAGATTTACAAAAATGGTACTAACAGCTTCCTTGCTTGATGCTCAGCATTAAAAGGTTAGTGTTAGGACTGGTCGGCCTGGTATCAGGATAATGTGACAGGGTGGGACATCATGCTACATGTCTGCGGCATGATGCCCCAGTGCTAGACATCACTTTAATCTGCCACACTGCAGACATCATAACGAAATGACTGAAAAATTGTTAAAGCTACGTTAAAAATCATAATCACACACATGCATACACTCTCTCTCTTCTTAAAGTACATTATCTAATCATAACACAGAGTGACCCTGTTATAGCACACATTATTATAACAAATTAAGATATAACACAACTGTGGCATTGGGCCCACTATTTCATGTACATCAGTGGTTCCCAAAGTGGGTGGTACTGCCCCCTGGAGGGGATTATAGGGTGGGTGCTAATGCTAAATAATCCTTTTTATTGGGGAAAGGTAGTGGGCACTGAGGATAACCAAGGAGTTAGTGGCCTGAAAAAGTTTGGGGACCCCTGATATACAATTATTTTTCTCATACACTAAAAAAAAATTTTCTATAAAAGTATAACATGTGTAAAAAATTTATTATCATTTTGAGGAAGAGATCATGTATGAATTCTAATAGGAGATGATTGTGGCATGGCTCCTGCTATTTCATATACATTTATTTTTCCTCACACAGAAAGTTTTTTTTCTTCTGAAAAGTTTTTTCAGGAATCACAATGGCCTCTACTAATGTTGGAAATTGTGATTTATTTTCCTCATTGGGAACAAAATAAACCATCTGGCTATTTTTGTGACATTGTTAGGTGTTTAAACTTGTATATAAAACTTGTTTATATATTATGGTAGAAAGTGCTTTCGTGTGCTCCACTGAGATTATATTCCATTGCCTACAAATGCCTCTTATGTGGCTGGCCATCTCACTTGAGGATTCTCCACCACTTTCTGTGAGAACTGTGTGTTCTTCAGGACAAATTTAATAAGATCTCGATGTGCAGGGTCAGTAACTCTGGTTGGGGTGAACACCTGATCATCATGGATGCTTAACTCACTGAGGGAACATTTCAATTCTGGTGATTTTGTTGTGAGATTGATGAAGTTGATCCACTTTTTCACTTGAGGAGTAATCAGGATGTGGAGACACTCAGATTCTGTTGACTCCTGTTTCACTTTCGGGACTTGAGGTTCTGGCCATTCCAATGTATAGAAAGAGCATTGATTATTCAAGCCTTTTGGGTCCAGAACTGGTGAGACAAAGATTGAGGTTTTGGGCATTCCACCTTGTCACCAATAGGTCCAGTCCATCAAGCAACTATCAAGTGATAATTGAGGGATGAAGAGACTATTCCATTTGATTTAGCTCCTTCTTGCAGGACAAGGAGTCTGCCAATAAATTAGCCAGCCTAGGAAATGCTGAGTTGCCAATAAATTAACCAGCATAGGAAATGCTGAGTTAAAATTGTCATTGAGGACACCACTTTAGAAAATCCCAAACAAGAATACAATGTTATGAGCACTTGTTCCACTTTTCTGTTTGTGATAAGTCACCATGGTTAAGTAAATGAACAGAAAAAGAATTCCTTTCATATAGGTTCTTCAGCCACCAATGAAAATTTATAAAAGAGTTTCCATTTCTATGATGTTTTTATAATAATCATTCTGAGAAGGCCATGTTCATATGGTAGTCAGAAGTGCTTGTTCCCCCATCCGTCTGTGTTCGTGCCTATAGCATTAATGATTACCAGAGGTTGTGCTTTCAGAAGTATGGTCAATGCAAGTCCCAAATGCAACCTGGTATTATTGTAGATTGTGAGAGCTGGTCCAATGGTCACAGCTTCAGCCTTGACCATTTAATCATTGTTATTGAAGCCCATTAAAGTGACCAAGGACCAAAATGTCCATTGCCTCATTAAAAAAAACTTGGCCAGCATAGGAATTCACAAGCAGATGGATTGCTCCAAATAGGCAGGGGACCTACCATTGCATGAATTCAATTCTCATTCCTGGGGAACATATTCTTTTTGCTTCAACATTGATTCCAAACCTAGCTGACAGAATCTTGAAAGGGTACAAGGTCAGAGATGTTTTTTGTTGACAAGGAAACTGAGAATGAAAGGAGAGTAACACATGAAATCATATCTTGCATAAAAATACACCTATTATGCTGCTTGTAGCCTGTTGTAGAAAAATCACAGAACTTTTTGATGCTATTTGAGTGGGTATGTGAAATAACATATCTTGCAAGTCCATAATGACTTTAGTCTCCATAGTGGATGGCATTTAGGACCCATTTTTCCTTCTATCGCAAACTGAAGAGCCCAAGTGTTGATTGAATACACTTACATTGAGGACCAACTGATAAGTGCTGCATTGTAGCTGAAAGAGCTCTGGCCAAAGGCTTAGTGGGTGATACCAAGTCCCCAGGAAATTATTGTTGGATCCCAATTATATCAAGGTAAATCTTTCTCATTCAGTCAAAAATGACTGAAGCCTTCTCCATACTAGGATCTGTGATAATGGCAGGATGGGGGGGGGGCTTTATTATTCGTATTTTGAGATAAGGATGCTGATGAAAATGACTAACCTCTATCTGACTATCACTTGGTTTGGGACTATTCCCAAATGTTCTTTGCGAATCTTTCTGCTGTGGCTGAGATGGAGACGGATGGTGATTTGTTGCAAACTCCATCAACATGATCATTAAAGATGAGAATAGATGATGAAGGTTGTGAGTGTATCTTGGGCCTTGATTGATTGGCCTATAATGTGGAGCTAGAGGGCACTGCATCTTTTTCCACCTGTTGTAAATTCACAGTTGCCATACGGCTATAGCATGTTGTACCCCTATGATATCAAGTGGATCATCCCCTAAAAATGCTCCACTTATTGCAATGAGATTTGGGATGGGAGAATGTAAGCTGTGTTCCACCTGTTGAGGATCATTGTAAATATTAGATGCAAATTAAATATTAGATGCAAGGTTAATCCAATGGTCACAGTGGAGTGAATCAAATCATGGGTATCCAAATGAAAAACAGAAGACATTTCTGCTAAAATACATTCACAGATGTTTGTTAGTTGTAATTGGCAATGTACATTTGTGCTAAAATACATTCACAGATGCTTGGAAGTTGTAATTGACAATGTACATTTGTGCTAAAATACATTCACAGATGCTTGAAAGTTGTAATTGTCAATGTCCCAAAGTGTCATTAAGCTGTTAGATTATGGAAGCAATTGAAAGTAAAATCTTCTGTAGATAATTTTCACCTAATATCAGAAATGTAAACCTGGCAGGCGATGTGAGAAATGAGGGCAGAAGTACAATGGGATTGAGTGGGAAACTTCAGTTCAAGGCTGCAAGGCAGAGTTTCACTCCAAGAAAGATCTAATAATCATGAAGGAACTTGAATACCAGTTCCTTCATTTATAGATTAAAATAGTGTCATTGATATCTCCTGCACTATCTGCGAAGTAGTTGGAGAAGAATGTTGATGATGTTGGCTTACTACATCTGCAACATGTATAAGTCAGATTCCATTACTTTTAATGTGTTGCTAAGTCGACTCTTTAGGGTGACTGAGGCTTGAGGGAGATGACTGTTGACATCTTAAGATGGACATCATACACTCTGTGTGCAAGACTGATCCAAGAGGATGTCTATGTAAATTGTGTGTGCACTACAACAAGTGCTGAGCAGCATTATGTGGTAGACTGATCCAAGAGAGAGCCTGTATAAACTGGTTTCAAGAAATGGATTCTTGATTACTATGGCACTAAACTGGGCATGTAGAAAGAGCTTGGTAGCAATGTGCGAGTCATGGAAATAACAATTTCATTTTCTGGTGGATGATACTGTATGATGGACTGAAGTCATGGCACATTGCGATCAGGGTTATATGGTTGAGTCCGGTCATGAAGGAACATCGCCATCTTTGCTAGCATGACAATTATTGCCTACACAGATAAAATCAATGAAGCATCACTTGTAATAACATATATTATCTGGATGCTACTGAGTAAACTATGAATGGAAAACACCTGTACTTATCTGACCAATATGGAAACTAGATGTATACAGTAATATAAACAAGCCTTATGAGACAATGTTACCTGTAAGAAAAGGCACAATGACGTATATACAGGTAAAATCAGTAAAGCATCACATATGTGACCTACGCATTTAGAGAAGATACTGCAGAATGGGGTGGAAATTATACAGCAATATTAAATGAACTTTCTTGATCATGCACTTACAGCAATGTGATGAGATGCGACTTCAACCCATGCATGTATGTACCAAAGGCACATAACTGCATTAAGCTGGCAAAGTGAAACATAGACAGTTAGGAAACTTTGTCATCAGTGAAAGGAAGAACAGAAAAGTTGGAAATTTATTGATGAAACTCCTTCCAACTTGTCTGAGGTAGAAAACTTTCAACTGCTTGTGTGGATTTTGCAATGTCTCTGTGGTAGAGACTGTGATACTCATCATGAGCAAAAGTAGTAACTGACAATTTCACAGCTTTGGTGCCAATTCCTATGATATGGGGAGATCACTCTGCTTGACTGCCACCTAGATAAGTAAATAAATTTTAGCTTTCAGCTAAGGGGGCACTCGCCAGTTATATATGTACTTTTGAGAAAGTGACTTCATGTAAGGTGAAGTTAGTTTGCATTTAAAACATTTACAGTGGTGAGAATGTTGGCATATCTCTATGCTACTTTGATTTAATGTGGCTGACATTAGATATTGTACTTGTGGAAATTGTACACGATCTAAGCACACTGCTAACTAAAATGAGTGTTCCCTTGTGTTAAAAAAATCAGCCTGAATTAGTCTATTTAACTATCTTTAGCAGCTATTAAAATTGGGAAAAAGAATTTTGCAAGATTAGACAATACCAGCATCTAAAAGTGCAATGTATGAATTACCAAATATATAAAATGTAAGAAAATTTATTGGCTCTTTTTTTTACAATTTATCTCTG